ATAAGTTTTAATGTCCTACACATTGCAACACTAAATTGACATAAGCTGGTCTTTAGTGGGCAATTTTTTACGTCAAACAAGAGACCTATTCGCAGTTAAATATCCGGAACGTTATATTCCTTCAATTGGAACAATAACAAACGTTATTCAAAGGTTTAAATAAATGGTTGTATTTTGGGGTGTAAATGTCACAGTACTGGGAGTTGATGTAGATGAGGAGATGAAAGAAATAATGGTTTGTGCAATGGTAGAAGAAGATTCAAATAAATCAATTCCTAAAATAGCCGAAGAGACCGGCATTAGAGTGGGTAAAGTCCACAAAATATTTAAAAAAAAAATAAATATCGTTCCTTAAATACCAAGTACATCAGGAAATTTTTCAAGACGACGAGTACAGGAGAATGTAATTTTGTGAAAATATGATGAAACGCGCAAATGACGTTGAACATTTCATTGAAAACATAGTATTTACCGACGAATCCACATTTCCATTACATGGAAAGCACAATCCTGCTATTGTCCGGTACTGGTATATTGAAAATGAGTACAGGCAACTAAACTTAAAGACTCAGTATCCTGAAAAGTTGAACGTGTGGTCTGGTATTTATGCCCATATAAAAATGTTTGTTTTAGGGCAAACAAATTTATATATTTAAATGCGTATACTAAATGGAAAGGTATTATATTTAAAACAAATCTATAACTATTGATATGAATTTAGTAGGTAATTTATTTTAACTGAATCTTAGATTTATTTAAAAGATATTTTATATTTTTTCTACTCCCACCTTTAGTCGTTCATGTTTCCATGACACTAAGTGACCTTTTAAATACACATTGACAAGTTGTGGCTTTATGGCGCTTTAGCCACGGGCTGAAGTTAGCAACAGGTTTTTAGTCACGGGCTGAAGTTAGTTTTAAGTTAGTTGACAGTTGTCAAATGTCATACAATCCTTAAAATAAAGTGCCTTTCTTGTAAAATAATACTAAATGTGAAAATTATTTTATTATCTCAATACAAAAATACAAAAGTATTAAATATTTGAAAAGTTTATATGAACATTGTACTGACCTTTTAATTTCGCCGGCAGTAAACTATAACTTAAATTCGGGCACAGACTCTACTTTAAAGTCCTTATAAAACATTTTCTTTACTTTCACTGTGAAAAACTGTCAATTTTACATACATTTAGGTTTTTTGTGTGTGGGAATAATATTATTGGTCCCTTTGTAATAATTTCTACGAGGGGCGTTATTCGCTGGCCAGCAAGGTCGCCAGACCTGGCTCCTAACGAATTTTTCCTATATTTATATGTAAAATCTACCTTGTACCGTCATGAAAAAATGAATAATTTGGGCGAATTAGAGGCAAGAATGCATATATACAGCGTTTGAGACAATTACTCCAGATATGCTAGCTAATGTTCGCACCGAATTTTATGACAGACTGGGCTTTTGTTTGACGCTTTGAGGCTTTGAATAAATTATTCAAAGCTTGTGTTCAAATAATTATTTATTATTTTTATTAGGTATTTAATTAATTTATTTATTTATTTACATTTATTTTAAGAAGTTTGATTTTTAGATTTTTAGTTTTGTTTTAAGAGAATTGATTTATTTATTTTAATTTGTTTTAAAGAGAAATATTTTATTTTTTTATTTTAGTTTTATGTTTAAACGTTTTTTTATAAGAAAATACTTTTAGTTAAATGCAAAACAAATAATGATTTTACACCTTTAATTAATAATTTACTGCTAAAAGTGATTACGTTACATTTTAAGTATCTGAATCATTTTTAAAAGTAAATTAACTTAATAATTAGTAATTCGTATTAATAATCCAGAACAAACTTCAACATCACCAATCGCCTGTGAAGGTTCTACTGGTGAATTACGAATTCTAGTGATTCCCACGAGAGTCTCGTTTTCGAGAGTCTCGCATGGTCTCGTCTCGTTTTCGAGACGAGACTCGAGACGATATTTGGACCGGACGAAACGAGACGAGACGAGACTTTTATTGGTCTCGTCTCGAGTCTCGAGCGAGACTTCTGAAGTCTCGTGCGAGAGTCTTGATCGTCAGGCGGTGTTATTAAACAAACGTTTGACGGTCATTTTCTTTTGTCGGGCCGCCGGAGCCGCCTTTGCACCCCACTTTGACTGTCATAAATTTAGCGATATGTATGTGTAAGTAAATAAAGACAATTAATTGTTTCGACTTTTACTTGATGAAACTCCATGTTAATATAAAGTACACTGTTTAAAAGTTTTACTTTTTTATTTAAATATAACAATTGTTTCGCTACACAGTAGCATCTTTAGATCTTATCCAAACTAATATTAATTTTCTATTTATATAACTGATGGTTTTAACAGGTAAAAGTACAATATTGGGGGTAGATTAATTAAGCACACGGTGGAATTCGAGTAATGATATGTTGCAAGTAGCTCTTAAAGGCAGACATGGACTTGGTGTATTGTGTCAAAATGTTGCCGATTTAAAACCATACACTCTTGGGGATGAAGAATGGATACTGCTAGAAAAAGTGCATAAATTACTAGCCAACTTTCAAATACTTAAAAAAAAACTCGGAGGAGACAAGTACGTCACCTTACCTATGGTTGTATGTATCAATATTCTAATAGATAATCTTGAGAGCAAAATATTTGAATGGGAGGGAAAGGCAGGTCGAACCCCTGTTGAAGAGCAGCTTATTGTTGGTTTTCAGGCTGCGAGAGACAAAATATTAAAGCATTATCGTAAAACTAACTTGATTTATGATGCAGTTTTAATTCTCGATCCGCGGCATAAATTAGAAGCATTTGATATGACAAGATGGGCCAAGAATTAAAACTGAGTTCGATCCAGAAATTTTAAGATATATACAAAGTTTATTTTCATCAATCAGAGGGACAACGTTTAAAAAAAAGGGCGGTCGAGGGACAAGAAGATCCTGAACCAGAAAAGTCGGATTTTGTAATCGATTTTGATGTCTTGTATGCAGTAAATCCTAGCCCTGTCGAAGGAGAATGGATGCAGGAGCTTCAAAAATATTATTCTAAACCACAGATATATTACAATGGTGGAAAATTCATGCTTCTGAATTGCCCATTCTTAGTTTGATGGCACGAGATCTCCTAAGCATACCGGCTACTTCAGTCCCGGCGGAAAGATTGTTCTCACGTGCTGCGTTAACTATAAGAAAACATAGAAATCGCCTTAATAATGAATCTGCACGATATTTGTTATGCCTAAACGACTGGGTGAAAAACAAAAATATTTGCGATCCAGAAAGCTGTTAGCAGATTTGTTTCCAATTATTCACAAAATGTTAAGATTTCGTTATATTTAAAAGTAATATTTCAAATAGATGATGTTATCTACAGTTGCAAGTAGGTAAGTATCCGGGATACTTACCTACTGCATCCCTTACTGGAACAAAATTATCCATGAAGGGATTTCGAGACTTTTGCGAGACTCTCGTACGAGAAACGAGACGAGACGAGACTGGAGGCTGCGAGACGAGACTTGATACGAGACTTCTTATTTCATCGGCGAGACGAGACAAGACTTTATGAAAGTCTCGTCTCGTTGGTCTCGTGGGAATCACTAACGAATTCCATCACTCCGCCCGAGTCTCGGCGTCTCCCACTCTTAAAAATTACTCTCCCACTCTTAAAACCCGAATGCGGCATGCCTAGAGGAAAAATGAAAATACGGTATTAAATTAATACTATTAATAACAATAATACTATTAATAACAATAACAATTAAATTAATTCTTTTGGTAAATGAAAATTATTTAATTTAGATAGTATTGTATGCTGGTTTAATTTAAGTGCATAAATAAGTAAATAAGTACTTTTATGCAATATGAAATGACCTACTACATTTAAATGTTAAAAAAAACGATAGTATTAGAAAAAAAGGACATAGAATATTATTTAATCATTAAGAATAATTTAAATGGTAGGAAAAAAAACTGTTTTATTACAAATATATTTAATAATCTAATATGGCATTTATACAAAACAATCATGTTAAGGCACTTTTAAACATCTATGTTAGCGATAAAAACGTAATTTTAATACTGTTTTTAGAAAGGAATTATTAGTACAATATGTAATACATATTATGTATGTATAAATTTATCTTTTACATGTAATAAAGTGTACCCATAAGTAATAAAGAATGATATTATATTTTACATAGCAAAAATTAATTATATTTTACACAGGGCAAAAAGAAAACATTTTGGATTATATGGTCACACTTTGTCACAAATGCGTAAATCCTCCTATACACTTTGGATATGTTACAGCTATTTACCTAACTAGTGCGGAAAGTATTACTTTTTCGAAAGCCACTGCCGTTGAACGTGGTAGCGGTCATCAGCCGAGTGCGGAAAATACACTTTCCGCGCGTCAGGTACGTGGAAAGTAGCAACTTTCCATACTAGTGACAAAGGTGATACTTTTCCTAACCTGTTAGGTACAAGCTTTTTTTATAAGCAAATTATTCTCGCAACTTTCTTTAACAGTTTAAATTTTTATCTTAAACATTTTTTAATTTCCGCGCTGTCAATTGTGCGAAAATTAATTGCTTACGTTCCGCAAGGTTATGTTGCGTCCGGAAAAGTGCAACCTTCTGCACGGTTATGCGTACGGAGAGTAACAATTTTCCGCACGCTTGTAGAAAATAGTTATTTTCCTTAATAGTGCGAAAAAGACATTTTCCGCGAGTGTTAGGTACAATATTTTTTCTACAAGCAAGAGAATCTTGCAGTTTTCTTCCATTTCCATTTTTAACCTTAACTTGTTTTACTTTCCGCACAGAAAAGCGTGCGGAAAGTAGTTGCACGGGAAAATTGCAACTTTCCGCACGGTCTTAAATAAATAAAGAAAGACCTTTTGAATTTTTTTTTCTAGAACGTCTTCTTTTTGTGAAGGTTGTATATATTATAAGTTTTTATTATTATTATTATTATTGCAATGTGTGAGTTTTTTTTAATCGTAGGCAAGTATCAATTGACATAAACAAATAGGTAAGTACATAACAGCAATCCAAAAGGTGCGTCCCTTAAAAAATCTGAAACAAAATAAACAGATGTTTTTAAAATGATGTAAAAGTAGTTTTTAAGCGCATATAAAAATAATGGTTAAATTATTTGTAGAAGATTGTAAGGGTTTTAACAAAAAACTTCAAACAGATAAAATTTTCTGGAGGTATTTATATTTTATTTTACATAATATAACGTTTGTATTTCTTTTGTATCCTTTATCAAATTAACTATTGTATTTTTTGAATAAAATAATTGGGTACTTTAAATAAAAGCTTTGTAAATGAATGAAACTATTAATGCAAAGAATACTGTACAAATATTGAATTTAAAATTAAAAAATATACTTAAATGCAAAGAAATATTTTTTTAATTATGACGGTTTAGTTATAAACCCTAAAAAATGTTGAGGTTTCTTTTTATTTAAACTTGGAATTAAATGCAGTATTAGCATGGATCAAATAATATATACAGGGTGAGTCATTTAACTTGAAACTTTGAAATATCTAAGTTAGTATGCATTTTACGAAAAAAAATTTAAAATAAGTTCGTTATAGGGGGAACAGGGGGTAACTTTAAAATTTTGGAGCACCCTATTTTTTTATTGCAAATTCGGATAATTCGACTAAAAATGGGTAGATTTTCTCTAAACATTTTTTCATATTTGTAGTAGATGGCGCCGTAATGAGAAAAAATCAATTTTGTTCGATTTTTTCATTACAGCGCCATCTATTATAAATATGAAAAAATGTTTTAGACAAAATCTACCTATTTATAGTCGAATGATCCGAATTTGTAATAAAAAATAGGGTGTTTCAATGGAAATTTTAAAGTTACCCCGTGTTCCCCCTATAAGGAGGAGAATATGAGGACCAATTTTAGTACTGATTGATTTCCCCCCTCAAATCATTTAATATTTATTTTAAAATTTTTTTCGTAAAATGCATACTAACTGACATATTTCACCATACCCACCAACACTGACAGACAGCCTGTTTCGACCTGTTGGGTCTCATCAGTGTCAGGCAGTCGCTGACGGGAGACACGCATCAAGTTTGGCACTGTTCAAGTATCGGCAAGTCAGTCTGGAGACATATACCGTCTAAAGACGTGGCCTCGATGTGCAGCGAGCAATCACAATGCACTTAGGCACACACAGTGGTAGGTTTTATAAAACCGTACGCGGCCCAAAAGAGTCGAATTAGCTTTGACCAGCTATGCGGCAATATTTCAAAAACAAGTTTTCTACTTTACGCCAGTAGTAGGGAACCAATATTGCAAAGACTGAAATGCCTTCCATCTCGCCACCGAGCCAGGCTCAAAGCGCGTGACCAGGACAGCGGCGAGATGTATCGACAAGTCAGTCTGGAGACATCTACCACGTCTTTAGACTCATTTTAAGATTATGTTTTATTTGTGTTGTCTTTTATTTTTATAACATATTTAATTTATAAATAGTTATTTACTTGTGGGGCCAGTCCCCGATAATGTCAAAGACGCTGCCAATCTACCTGACCTTACTTTCTACTTTTAAAAATTATTGTTATATTGTACGTTGTATGCAATAATATGTATCGTTTAAGATACTAGTTATTTATATCATAAGGCTGGGAAGTCAAAGTTTAAATTGCCGAATGACATACAACATTTTATCTTAAAGCGCTCTATAATTTAATAGTAATAATAATATTAATAACATTTTATTCTTCAACAGATATAAAATCCAATTACAGAACAAATTACATACAAAAAATATTTATCAAATAAAAATAAAATAATGTACAAGCAAAAAATAAAATGTGTGGTTAAGTGACTAACTTTAAATCCAATGCTATCAAAGTTTTATTTGAATAAAAACAACCTGTAAAGGAAATAAGTCCCTTTTAGAGTTATAAAGTTGTGTGCCGTGAACGGCTAACAACCAGTTAGTTAAAGCTCAATAAAATTTGACAAAGCTAATGTTTACACTAAAGTATACACGAAAAAAATAAAAACAAAAAGCGCGAATAAAGCCAGACGTTTCTCACGAAACAGGACCGAAATGGACAAAGAAAATGCAGGCAAACCGAACGCGGATGAAAGCAGATGTTTGCAGATGTTCGCGGATAAAAGCAGATATTTGCGGATAAATGCAGATGTTTGCGGATAAAATCAGATGTTTGCGATTAAAATCAGATGTTTGCGGATAAAATCAGATGTTTGCGGAAAAAGCAGATGTTTTCGTATAAAATCAGATATTTGCGGATAAAAGCAGATGTTTGCCGATAAAAGCAGATGTTTGCTGATAAAATCAGATGTTTGCAGATAAAAGCATGTTTGCGGGTAAAACCGTATGAAAGCAGATGTTCGCGGATAAAATGAGATGTTTGCGGATAAAAGCAAATGTTTGCGGATGAAAGCAGATGTTTGCGGATAAAAGCAGATGTTAGCAGATAAAATGAGATGTTTGCGGATAAAAGCAAATGTTCGCGGATGAAAGCAGATGTTCGTGGATGATTGCAGATGTTCGCGGATAAAAGGAGATGTTCGCGGATGAAAGCAGATGTTCGCGGGTGATTGCAGATGTTCGCGGATAAAAGCAGATGTTCGCGGATAAAAGCAGATGTTCTCGGATAAAATGAGGTATTGGCGGATAAAAGCAGATGTTTGTGGATAAAAGCAGATGTTTGCGGGCGTGCACTAACCGGATGAAATCAGGCGTTCGCAGATAAAAGCATGTTTGCGGGTGAAACCGTATGAAAGCAGATGTTCGCGGGTGATTGCAGATGTTCGCGGATAAAAGCAGTTGTTCGCGGGTGACTGCAGATGTTCGCGGATGAAATCAGATGTTCGCGGATAAAAGCAGATGTTTGCGGGTGAATGCGGGGGTGCACTAACCGGATGATATCAGGCGTTTGCAGATAAAAGCATGTTTGCGGGTGAAACCGTATGAAAGCCGACGTTCGCGGGTAAAAGCAGATGTTTGCGGGTGATTGCAGATCTTCGCGGATAAAAGCAGTTCTTCGCGGGTAATTGCAGATGTTGGCGGATAAAAGCATATTTTGGCGGGTGAAATTGGACTAGGCAGACGTTTGCGGGCATATGCTCGCGGATAAAAACAGACGTTTTCAGATAAAACCAGACAAAAATAGACAAAAAAATGCAGGTAATCGCGGATAAAACCAGGGGGTGCACTAACCGGACATAAAACACAACCAACCGGGTGTTCGCGGATATAGCGATGCGGACAAAAGCAGATGATATCAGATGATATTTTACCCGCTTTTATCCGGTTTTGACGATGAATTTATATCCGTAATCATCCGTCATTTTCAGCAGGGTACTTGTATTTCATCATATCCAATCGTTTAAAATTGTATATGATTGAATAAAATTAGATCCAATCATTTTTTATCGGGGGTGCGTCTATTTTGTTATGTTCCAAATTATACAAAATTTTAACAGTTAATATGGTTTAAGCTTTTTAATTGTCAACGCTTACTACCAAAGTATTTGATTATCTCCTAGGCTATAAAAATAATAGACCAATCAGATGAAGTTTTTTACATCCTAGTCTGTAAAAGACCCGTTAGGACCAAACAAAAAATTCGATAACAGCTGCCACATTTGAAGCTATCTAACCTCACTTTCTACTTTTAATAATTGTTATTATAATTGTTAAGTACGTTTTATATATCGTGTAACAAATAAAACTGCGCCTTGAAGATAAATGTTGTGCCATTCGGCTGAGAAGTGTCTTTTTGTGCTTTGCTTGAATGCCTCTGCTAACACGTCGGACTTCAAACTTTGAGCTCAGCACGAAAAAACTTACTTCTCAGCCTTATGACATAAATAACTATTATATTAAAGGCACACTTTTATTTATTAAAAGATACATATTAATGCATACAACGTACAATATAATAATAATTATTAAAAGTAGAAAGTAAGGTTAGGTAGATTGGCAACGTCAGAGATACATTGTCGCAACTCTTTGATATTATCGGGGGCTGGCCCCACAAGTAAAAGTCGAGCAGGGTAATATCAGGGCGTCGTTGAGGCCAGGCAATAGGACCTCCACGAACGATCCATATTTTTGGTTACCCATGATCCAGACAATGCCGGACCTGAAGAGCAAAATTGCTCGTCATCCAATCCATCCACTCCGAATTTTGCAAACTAAGATTGTGGCAGATTCTGAAACCCTCTTTGGTGCATAACATGGGGATTCTCTACAGCCTAATTATGACTGTTATGCATATTCTCGTCCAGGGTAAATGTTGTTTCGTCTGTCCAAATTATTCTAAAATCTCTATTATCTCTTATTCTTTTCAATACCCTTAGGGCTTGCACTTTAGTGTAATAAAATGCGTTGGATTGTGATGTATCTCAAGTTCAAATTACGTCCAATGCCTTAAATACTTGCACGAAAATTTCCCAAATAGAATACAGAACCCCTTATTGTGTTTGTGAAGTTCTCCCAGTGCGTGGTCAACGCTATTTTAAATTTACATTTTTGTGAGGAGGCTGATGATTGGAATATGGAACAGCATAGAGAGCTACAGCGCCAGGTAGTTACCACGACATTCTCTCAAACATAGAAATAAGATACATATCGCAATCCTAGACCAAACCAATAGATGACTATATTAAAGAGTAAGAGAGTTTGGAGCCAAATGAAGCGCCCTTTCTGAACTTGGTTAAAAATTAAATTACGTGTTTACAGGAAACTGTTGCCAAAATAGCTTTTAATTGGTGGGTAAAATCAACGTTTTTGATTGGTTACTTCAATAGCGCTTTATTTAAAATATAACTTGTGGCTAATTTTAAATAAAATGAGTAACAAAGCCATGTATTTAAGGTACTTCTGTGGTTAAGCTATTTAGTAATTCTCAAGCAACTTTTATAAACTAAAGAAATTCACAGATTTATGGAAAAAAAATGAGGAAAATAAATGTATGTAGATGTAAAACAAGTGTTCATTTGTAAAATCTGTAATTTTTTTAATTTGTAAAACTCGTTGAATCTTTATCATATTCCCAAAAGTACCATTTTTATTTATGGTAAGAAACATTGCTTTGGTATTTATGATAGTCTACCAAAAGTAACTGTCTCATTGATCAATATTTTGAAATTGAAGAATAGTGTTAAATCCATAAATTTTGTTAAACAATACATGCCTAGTAGGCATTGCCTACCATCTTTAAGATTATAATTCGGTCAAAGTGTTGTTTATAAATTATTATTATAATACAAACCTTAGAAATAATACACATATTGGATCTGATATAATTACATTTTTGTGTTTTTGTAATATTATTATACCTTATATTTTTTGCTTTATATAATTTATATAATTGTTTGATTTTTTTTATTTTGTAAATTTTGGTTAAGTGGAAGAGTGATGTCAAATCAAACTTCGTCATTTTGAAATGTATATGTGAGTGTATATATTATCAAATAAAGACGTTTATTATTATTATTATTATTATTATTATTATTATTATTATTATTATTATTAAAAACACACAAAATCATACAAAATACGATAACTACGGATATAATTGAACGTCAAAAAGGTCAAAAACGTCAAAACGTCAAAAAATTATAAAATCCCTCTCTTGGCTTGGCTAAATATTATAATACTGTCCCGACATTCGACATGATATTTATCTATGGTTTGGTCTAGGATCGCAATTTGATATGGGTCCCATGTCTAATAACTGAGAAATGGGTGTGCCCAAAATCCACCAGCCGCCACTGATAAGATATTTATTTATTTGTTTGGTCTAGGATCGCAATATTCGCGCAACCAATACATTTTGAATACAAAAGTCAGCGACATAACTGTAAAAAACCTGTTAGGACCAATAAAAGAATGTACATCTGATCTCAATTTATAATTTTAATAATTGTTAGTACGTTTTATGTATTGTTTAACAAATAAAACTGTGCCTAGAACATAAAATGTTGTATGCTATTCGGCTGGGCGTGTCATTTTGTTCTTCGCTTAATTTTAGGCATCCGCTAACGTGTCGGACTTAAAACTTTGAGCTCGGCAAAAAAAGAACTTCTCAGCATAATTACATAAATAACTAATATTTGTAAACTTTGAAATCATACAGCCATATTTTGTGAGGTTCCTTTTTCTGTGGGATGCAGTAAAGTTTATATTATACAGTGTAGGATAAAAACTTGATTTTTAAATTTTAAATTAAAATATTATAAATTGGTCAAAAAATTACGAGAGGGTATTAATACATTTTTAGGGTGTTACTATTTTTTATACACGAAAAAAATTTAAACTTAGTAGTAATTTTCCTATGCCCCAAATATTGTTATTGTTTTCCATTATTAACCATTATCTTTGTTTTTTTTTTGGTAATTCTTCAACGTCAAAAAGCAACCTTATATTTTTAAGTAAATTTTAATTTAAACCACTTTGAAAATTACTTTTATATTTAAATATTTATAAATTAAATTAAAAACCAATAATAATTTAATAAAGAAAAGTAAAGTAAATTATATAACAAATAAATATAAATCACGACTATAGTCGTATAATTCTAAATAAGGATTTATGTCCGTCGCGACGATAAAATTTCAAATATCTCTTTTAATCCCGAAACTTACCGTTAAAGATCGTCCCTGGTGTACGATTTGGCCTCGGTGACGATAACCGAATCTTCGGTGTCACTTATGTATCCCTCTTCGCCGGTGTAATGAGTGGGATAGAGCAGCAGAGGCGCGGCGGACAAGGCGACGAGGTCCCTTCGGGGAAAATGGCTCTTCCAGTTATCCTGCGGGTGTTTATCAAACAGTATTGGCAAGAATTCGTCAACGGGCACTAAGCGCGATAATGGATCAGCATTTAGCAGTTTTTGCGCTCCTTTCTGACTTAGGACATACCCCAGGGTCCAATAGGAGTAGCCGGCTTTTACTAGAGAACTACTACCCTCGACCCAAGGCTCGTCTTTTTCTTGCAAACGCTTTCTACCGAAGTATCTGCAATAAATAAAACTTCTTAATCAGAAATCATAAAATTAAATTGATGTTTTAAGGTATAGTAGAATAGGATTTTATATAGTGGCTTTAGCTACCACCGGCTGGATTAAATAAATATGCTCATGAAAAACCTAGAGGCAGACAATAAACTCAATTATATACAGCAGAACAAATTATAAGTCATGAATAATAACATACATATTATATGAATAATAAGTTTATATCATTACCATGTCCTTCATATGAATAGGACTTCTCTAAAAGTATTATTCAAAGAGATAAACTGAGGAAATATACAGGGTTACAGGATAATCTTTTTACCACAAATTATTTGAGAAATTCTAAGAGGCAGTTCATTGTTATATTTTTGCCGGATTCTTTGAAAAATTCGATATTAATGATAAATTATTTTCTTAAAAAGTTTCTCGTAAAATTTAATAAATGCATGAAATAAAAACATTTTTATTTAAATTTTTTGTTGAACTTTTAAAATGGATATCATAAATATTAGTAATGTCTAAGGTCAGACAATGCTACTCCTAATCAGCGCGGTTGTTAAGCTTTATATCTATCGGTATACATTACAATGCTATTTTAATAATTGAATTGCCGGAATGCACAACCGACGCAGCGCGGGGCCAGTAGGCTACTGCATGGAGACCGTTCAATTTCAACAAATTTCTTTAAATTAAACTCGCGATAACTCCTTAACTAAACGTGCGATTTTTATGAAATTTGGACAGAATACTTAGATTGGTACAGCGATGCTATTAAAATAAAAAATACAAAATTTTAACCACAATTAATTAATAAATGCATCAATATTATTTAAGTCATAACTATGCTTAAACTAGTAGATGTTTATAAATTATATATATACGGTTTTTTTCTTGGTAAAATAAAGAAGTTTTTCTCCAAATTTGACAATTATTGATAAATTATTATAGCCGTAATACAAATAAATAAAAGAGCCCGCGGCGCGCTGCGGCGGCGTAAAGACAACAAAGTGCACAAGAATCGAAACTAAACTCGATTTATCACGTTAAAAGCTTAATTTGCAACAAATCATTTATTATTACTTATTATAACTAAATGTGTTTACATTGAACACTTTACACTGTACAATATAAAACACGAATTTTATTTTGAAATAAAATGATTACCTAGGGCCGCTACTGTTTGCTATTTTTATCAATAATTGACCGCTAAGTGTTAAATATTCATCTTGGCTACTGTTTGATTTGATTTTTAAATATTAAACAACGAAAAAGATAACGAAATGTTACAAAAAGACCTAGACTATGTATCAGAATGGCTTCAAGTAAATAAGATGTTTCCTAACGTAGAAAAGTGTGCAACTATAACACACACGTAAATATAAATTTATTAATAGTACATATAATCTAAATAACATTAGCTTAAGTAGAATTTATTAATGTAAAGATCTGGGTGTAAAATTGCAATTAAATATGAAATTCAACTCTACCTACAATACAATAGTACCTAAATAAGGCATTTAGGGTACTTGGTTTTGTACTTAGAAATGCCAAATATATAATATATTATATTTTAAACATATTTCATCCCTTACTATATTGTAAATATTGTATGCATTAGTGAGCAGAGCCGGCTTAAGGCAATTGAGCGCCTTAGGCACTTAAAAATTTGGCTCCTATAACTAGATACTATACTTACGGGGCCCGGGGCAAATTTTAAAAAAGCTTATTAAAGCCACCCCAAACTGTTAGCTTAAGGGCGCCCGATCATTATAACCTAATTATTCCCTATGAATTAGAATACTTTTTATCATTAAAAAAATACATAAAAAACATACAAAAATAACAAATATAATGTAAATAAAAAGTGTTAGGACTTATAACTGCGTTTTTCTGCAAGATGTCATTAGTAAGTATTTAAAAAAAATAAAATCAACTTTAATTTTCTGTATTGTATGTTAGATGTACTGCTGGTTTATTGTAATTAGTTTAATATTAAAATTTCAGAAATACCTCAAAACAAACAGAAAAATTAACACTATCTAAATGTGGATTTAGCCAGCATTTTTGTAACGTAATCTAACGTAACGTAATTTAATTTAAAAGCCAGGCTAAATCAACCTTAACTATCGAACACAGACTGCTATCACCAAACACACAACACATAGAAGTGCCACTCTTGAATAAACGCGAAAACACCCAAGTCCTTCCGGCAGCAGTTTCCTCTAGTAGCTCGTACCCGCTAGGGTGAGCAGCACATCACAGCGGGTATCCGATGCAAGAGGAATCCGTGTGCTTGGAACATACGGAGGTTTTGAAATAGTTTAAAGAGTCCTAAAGATATGTTTATATATACAGAAGTGAATTTGCGGCACGATTTTTGTCGGCTTTACACCTCGTTATTACAAAGGAAGGTAAATTTTTATAAAATAATAAAAACAGTACAAAATATTCTGTTATACAATTGTATATTGTTTATTTGTTTTATTTTTGGAAAAAATAAACATTTTGGTAACAATTTTTATTTTTTTTTAAGTTGCTTGGTGACAAGGCGCCTATTTCTACGTGGCGCCTAAGGCAATTGCCTTTCCTGCCTAATGGGTGATATGGCCCTGTTAGTGAGGCTTCATCTTGAATATGCTTGTATTATCTGGTCACATACAGCAGAAAGCAATAGTAATGTCATTCAAAAAGTACAAAAAAGATTTCTTAGATATTTACATGTAAGGAATATAATTTATACCGGTTTTTGGTATCATAGGTATCTATAGATACATACATTTGGTTTCCACAAATTATTATTCTTCGATCTTTTTCGTCCGATTTGTTCGGACGAAAAACCTCGAAGAATAATAATTTATGGGAAGCAAATGTTGCTAAAAGTTAAAAGATATGGTAATAATTTTATTTCAAAATAAAATTCCTGTTTTATATTGTACAGTGAACAGTGTGCAATATAAACACATTATATCAGTAATAATTACTGATAATAAATGATTTGTTGCAATTAAGCTTTTTACGCCGCCGCAGGCTCTCTTATTTATTAGTATTACGGCTATAATAATTTTTTAATAATTGTCAAATTTGGAGAAAAACTTCTTTATTTTACCAAGAAAAAAAACCATATATATATGAGGCATTCCATGTCAACTCGGCCACCCCCCCTTGTGCAAAATTGAGTTAAGTTTTTCGAAACGTGCAAGTGATGAATTTTTAGCTTATCGTCTTAACTTTTAAATGCCGAGTGGTATTTTGTAAAATTTCAAAATGGCGGTGTCAATATAGCGACTGCAAGCAATAGACATCACTTTAAAAAATCCATAATACGTAGTTTACATTAACTAACAACTTTATAAAATTAAAAATTGAATTTTATTTAATGCACTGATCTATTATCAGTGATTCTATGTATTTTTTACCGGTGATTACACAATGGTTCGCCCCTAACCTCAAAAAAAAAACTTAAAAAGCAGTTTCTCGTAATTTACTCCCGCATAATGCATTTTTGATAGATGGTTTAGCATTTGTTTTTTGTATTTCTGATTGCCTAATATAAATATGGCCTTACCTAAAAGTCGACATAAAACTGTAAGTTCCTAACCTAAGAGAACTCTCAAAAAATGTATTTTTACCTTCTTTACAGCTGTTTAAAGCATTTTAAAGATTGGCATAGGGTTACATTTTTATACTTTTTATCGCCAAGTACGTAAATAATCCAAATATTTACTGCACACAAAGCAGTTAAGCCCTAACCTTAAAAATATTCTCTACAAATTAGTTTTCTGCAGTATACAGACGCTAAAGAAAATTGAAATATGGGATTTATAGATTTATTCCCACACTTGTATTGCTAAAAAGTTTATTATCCTTGATGGCAGTTCTTTGTTAACCTAAAAAATTTGCATATATTCAATAAAAATGAGGTTTAAATGATATGTTAAAATATTTATTATATAAAAGTTATTACATAACAATATGCTGAATTTGTAATTTGAAATCTACCTCAGATTCTAACGATAATTAAATTCGAAGCCATTTGGGGCATTTGAATACTTTTTTAAGAGTAAATTTTTATTTGGTAATACCAGAAAAGAATGTTGTTTTTGAATGTCAGTGATCGCTGGAGCATTATCATATCTAATCTTTAGCTTTCTTTGAACCCTTGCATGTTCTGCTTTGCTATAGAAAAATATTAATATTTTACTAAAATTCTTCTTTCCCCAACTATACAATGATTTGCAATCAAGAATTGATTCTGTAGGCTTAGCCAATAAGCTGGCTCTAGCTGCTTCACGTTTAAACGTTCCTCCAATAGCATCACATGAGGATTTCCCATGTGCCGTCGCATGAAAGTTCCATTCTGCGGTCATACCAAAATCTTCTTTATGATGCATTAAATTATTTATTTGGAATCTGTTTTTGAAATGCTGCTTGGCACCGTCTGTAACGTAGATAATATGTTTAGCACACTTTACTTGGCCTTTTATGTATTCTATTAAAAGTGATTGAACCGTATAAACAGCAGCCGAATCGTGTTTAGTACTGTCGGATAAAAATACTAGGCTTTTATGCTCGATTTTAGTATCACTTTTATAGTAGTACACAACAGGAAAAACAGTACACTGGTCGTTGTTAAAGTGAAATGCCTGAGCAGCATCTTGTACTACAGTTCTCAGAAAAATCCATACAAACCAGCACTTCGCTACTAGATACATTACTTTTCCTATTTTCAATATATTTATTTTGCTGTTTTACAATGAAAGAATGTGGTTTCAATTTTATTAACTTATTAGATAGGTCTATGACAAAATCTAAAGTCGGGAGGATTAGTGTTTGTAAAGTACATCGATCTGTTCCAGTCCAAGAACTGAATTGGATATCATAAATATTATTATTTTGTAGACATTTTATTAAATTGTTTGCAATATCAACTGTTCCAGGACAATTTGAACATTCATCCAAATAACAAGCGGCATCCTCTTTTTGGCATACCATTTGCTGTAA